AGATGACTATATGGAGCTATATTGTAGTATAGAGTCAGATGACTATATGGAGCTATATTGTAGTGTATGGTCAGATGACTATATGGGGTTATATTGTAGTGTATGGTCAGATGACTATATGGAGCTATATTGTAGTGTATGGTCAGATGACTATATGGAGCTATATTGTAGTGTATGGTCAGATGACTAGATGGATCTATATTGTAGTGTATGGTCAGATGACTATATGGAGCTATATTGTAGTGTATGGTCAGATGACTATACGGAGCTATATTGTAGTGTATGGTCAGATGACTATATGGGACTGTATTGTAGTGTATGGTCAGATGACTATATGGGACTATATTGTAGTATAGAGTCAGATGACTATATGGAGCCATATTGTAGTGTATGGTCAGATGACTATATGGGGTTATATTGTAGTGTAGAGTCAGATAACTACATGGAGCTATATTGTAGTGTATGGTCAGATGACTATATGGAGCTATATTGTAGTGTATGGTCATGAGACTATATGGAGCTATATTGTAGTGTATGGTCAGATGACTATATGGAGCTATATTGTAGTGTATGGTCAGATGACTATATGGGACTATATTGTATTGTATGGTCAGATGACTATATGGAGCTATATTGTAGTGTATGGTCAGATGATTATATGGGACTATATTGTAGTGAATGGTCAGATGACTATATTTAAATAATAGCATATGCTTGAGAGGGTAATATAACGATTTGTTGCCTGTCCAAGGGATGGTGGTCATGACCATAATATTGATGATGCCAGAGCTGAAGACGACGGCATCATCTATATTATGGTCATAACCAATAGCCCGAGGGAAGACTACAAATCGTTATATTGCCCGAATAATCATGTGTTATTTATTTTATCACATCGAACAGACATCAACTATGCACAATCACATCGAACAGACATCAACTATGCACAATCACATCTACCATACATCACTCACACCCGCTCTCCCACAAAATAACAACACTTATATTTGTAGTATGCAATATTTTATTTCACTTATTATATAAAGTTTCACATTACTCAATAACATAAATACATTGTTTGCAGAAAAAAAAAACAACGAATTACGCTCAGTATAAAATGTTATTTTCAGCCATGGATACTCTTTTTTTAGTAACCGTGTTTCAGAAGTGTGAATCATTCAATTTATGGAGAAATGAGAATTTTTGAAATGAATTGAGAAATTCTCAAACGCAAGTTATTTGATCACTCTACAAATAAAAATGTCTGTGTGCCGTGGAAGTGACTGAAATTACTTTTTCACGAACATACCACACATATTCACCTTATATTTGCAACTTATATTTCGGTTTACATTTCGGTTTTGAATATTGTTCACTTGAATACATAATTCTTAGTATTTGTCGTAATATTGACGCCTTATAGTACGTAATGGTAATTTCTAACATTGCACATCATAGAATGCAAGGCGCCGGAGGCTCGAGAAAATATTTAAATTATTATGTATGTCATTTTTATCACCAACCATCAAATCTCTTTTATGATTTCTAGAAGAAAACAACTTACTCCTGAAATGCGTACACCGGTAACAGTATTTTGTAGCGAACGATGACGTACTAGACATATCCCTTTCACGACATCATCCATGTTGCATTGAAAGTTCGTGTAGTAATTAACATTTCGTTTCAATCATTCAATTATCTATCACAGTTGCGCCGCTGGATCCATGTACTCGCCTACTACCAAGCCACAAGCCAGCAAACAGATTCACGCATGTACTCAACATACTGATTTACTTGTTAAATTAATATTATTAATCCGTTTTATGTTTGTAAATCACATTTGTTTTTATTTTAACTTTTTTAGTTATTTAAAAATCTTAACCTAATGTTTCAGATATTTATTTGGTAATATTAAATTAATAATTTCTCTACAGCTCAGATGTGTGAGTTTGTTCAAATTACCGAAATATAAAAATAATTTTATTGATAAACTATTCACTGACATATTTAATTACATTCGAATTTGCAAAAATCTGCAGAGGTTCATACGTAATCAACTAACATAGCCAGTTGTGTAAATTTTAATATTGTATAAATGTATATATATGCCTATAATTTATTCAGGTTCTTGTCACACATATCTGAGTATTCATTCGATGAAACAATGACATTCTCTAATACGCATGCGCACTAGTTTTGGTTTTGATTTCACAGCTACATGTATAAATACTGTTGTGTTTAGTGTTCTGCATTATAATAAATCATAATCTGATTTGGACTACATTATTGAGTATTAAACAACAATGATAGCAAATATATGTTTTCATTCATATTGCATCTTTAAGTAAATTCGAAAGTAGAACCAAAAAGATCCTCTGCTGATGAAGGCGATAACGGTAGTGATAATAGCAATACCAATTCGCTTGCTTGTCATATGGTCAGACAATCACTAACAAATATAGTGTGTTTATTAAATTTCCTTTAGATATGAAATTAAAATGTCTAAAACCTTTTATAGATGTAATTCTTGCGGAAATTCTCATATTTTGAAAACCTGCATGAAATTTGAAATGGCAAAAGAAACCACTCTCTATTTTCAAATATAATATGCTATAAATGTCCTCGTACATTTGCTACGCAATGTGTAAGCATTAACCTATCGGAATTTGTAGTCAGTGTTCTCACACATTTGCGTATTCAAGTTAAGGCAGTTTGGCCAATATCATAGACAGAAATAGCCCAAAAGTGAACGACCGACATCGAGTTCTAGAGAGCTGAAAACGGTCTGATCGACCGTTGTGTGAAAACCGAGTTTTAACACGACTAGTTTCTTCTTACCAAAGTAAAACTTGCTCAGTATTACATATTTGATGTCACGTGATTCGTACAAACGTCCTAGAACAATTAATGTCGGTACTACTTTTATATTTACAGTCGAATCCACGTATTTTATGCTATACTGTATATGGGGTCTTATGTAATATGTAGTAGTAGTATATAATGTGTGGCACTCATACTGGACAAACTATATTACAGGTAATATCAATTTCAATATGCCGTTATTTGAGAGTTTACGAAATGGAGGTGGCTAATAGACTTTCGACACAGAAAGTTACTGACAGTTAATTCCCTATGGATGCGGATGAGTTGAAAGTTCAAAAAGACAACTTAGAGTAATGAAACTGGTAGTTTGAATTATGAACCTGAATTGTACGTAATTAACCACAAAATGGTGAAAAATGTGACTATTTTAAATTTTCCGGATTCGTTCTAGATCTAACACTCTGTATATTTTCACTTCTGCTCAATGATAATAGCGTGTGGCATTTCGACCCTCAACTATGACTATTCGGGTACCTTGAAAGTTGTAGTGGGACGCTTTTTCACATGAATGAGCGGTTGGTCTGAGGTTTATAATCGTTTTTGTGCCCGGCATACCTCGTTTGCTGTCTTACTAGATTGCCACTGGATATAGCTACGCAGGATACAATAATGCCGTGTTGACAACAGTATTAGTGGATATCACCACCTGTTACCCATAAATACCATTTATCATTATTTAAGAAGATTTGCGCATTACCAGCTTTTGTTGTTTGTTTCATCGGTGGCTGTATAGTATCAGCTTTTGTTGTTTGTTCCATCGATGTATGTATGTACAGTATCAGCTTTTGGTGTTTGTTCTATCGATAAATTCAAATTACTTAAAGCAGTATTTATATGGCAAAATCAAACAAGACCTACGATCAGTAGCATAATTCGGTTGTGACTGTTGCAACTACACGGGGAAAATGTCACTGCATTTAGAAATGCTTATTCAATTTAGAAATTCAACCAAATAATCGTTGTTTATATATAACAATTTTTTTGCGATTATTTCAGAAAATGTAGATAGCTAAATGTTTTTTCAGAACTGATAATTTTTTTGCAAATCAAATGCGAGCATCTCTGGAGTGAATGTGATCGGACATTGACATTCGAATGCAAACACCCCGGAGTGAATGTGATCGGACAGTGGCAATCGAATGCAAACACCCAGGAGTGAATGTGAACGGACAGTGACAATCATTGCACAGTTTGCGTGGGTATGTTCCCTGTTCATGCTTGCTCGTTACTGTCATCCTTGAAAATCAAATTAATCCAATAAGCCGGCTGTCAAGGCTTTCATGAAGTTGACTGGCATCTGTCCTACCACATGGTGTATTGCGATGTTTTGTACTATTTTGTTATTACGCATTATTCAGGCTGGTTAAGTAGTGGTTACATTGAAGTTAAATTGAAATATTTGAAAAAGACTTTTCAACTAAATCAGATATAAAGTACGTTTTTGGTATGAAAGTATGCTTCGATCATGAAAGCACCACCCCTAAAAGCTTGACTGGATGTGTGAGCACGAAAATCTAAAGCCAAATAACTTACATAAACTGTACAGAACCATGAACAGTTATATTATTATGTTGGTCCACAAGTGTAAGAGATTTATTTTTATGAAAACAAAGTGCGCACACAGACTCTATCATTCGTCGCTCTTACAGACGAATTCAGCCAATTTGGTCGGCGTTCGACCCATAATCATACTTTCTATATTTGCACATACAACGATTATCATGATTGTGTGTATGTATGCAGTATAGTGTCATGTGCAATTCAGTGTCTGTGTTTTTAAACAAAATATTACGGGGAAAAGGATTGCTTATTTGTAACTCGCTTTCTTGTAAACTTAGTAAGCGTAAGTTCTTACAGAGGACAGACAGGGTTATAACTACAGTCGCTTCATTATTGTACGCACATCGAACACGACACAGTGGACGAGGACTGTGGTGCCGTAGTGTGCTATTATTTTACGCACATCGAACACGACACAGTGCGAGGATTGTTGTGCCTTAGTGTGCTGTTATTGTACGCACATCGAATACGACACAGTGCGAGGACTGTGGTGCCTTAATGTGCTGTTATTCTCGTACTATCACATTCAAAATACTCAAAACACAACAATTACGTCATTTTGATTACATGAAGAATGAGGATACCACTTTTTAATTAATTTCTTATGCATTTAAAGTTTTACAGGTAAATTTGAGTAAAAGTTTAACTGGAACCGGAAGTCCAACGAATCCCTTGGAGCGATCTCATTCGTCTAGATAGATACACAACTAAAAAAAAATGAAAAAAAAAATGTGTGTTACGTTATTTGAATACCATTTCATGTCAAATGCCCATCGATCAACTGGTAACGTTTTAGTATTGTGTGTCTACCAACTGAACTGACTAAAACAAGGTATTAGCAAACATGATTAAGTTAAGTTAAGCGAAAGCACAGCGGGATCATGATATTGAATCGGAAATTAAACAATTCATGTAAAACATGAGAATCTAGGATCTAGGTGTGATTGTCAGTACACTGCCCTCTGTGGGTTACAGGCAAGGCGTTGACACAGGAAGATATTTAACATGTTATTTCTGAGCAAATGTGTGTTAATAGTCCTAAAGCCAGAACGAAGAATATCCGTGTTCAATTAAGCAAATGTGTGTTAATAGGCCTAAAGCCAGAACGAAGAATATCCGTGTTCAATTAAGCAAATGTGTGTTAATAGGCCTAAAGCCAGAACGAAGAATATCCGTGTTCAATTAAGCAAATGTGTGTTAATAGGCCTAAAGCCAGAACGAAGAATATCCGTGTTCAATTAAGCAGACTGAATGGTACAAAGCAGGCTTTCCTAAATCATTCAACTAGACTTTCATAGGAGTTTATGATTAATAGATATCTTAGTGTTTTCCAATTCATAATATTCCGCAAAATAAAATGTAAATCACAATCATTATAAATACATTTCTTAACTATTCTTTCCCGTTTGTCGCAAGATCCTCCGTCACACAGATATTGGTGGCGCTCTTCGCGATCAAGTTATGTTACTCGGTTGTCACTGATGGCACTTCGCAGTTGGTAAAACTGTAGAAGTGGAACTAGGTTTTTGATTCAGCATAGTTACATCACGTGATATTACTATAGACACAACAAAAAAGCTGCTTACCTTTTTGGCACAACCCAAGAGTCAGCAAATCGTGCAATTTCAATGGGACTGTCATCTTTAATCGTCAGTCCAGCATAAGTCACCAAGTCGTCGTAGTAAGCATTGATACCATTAGCATTTCCACACATACCGCACAGGGTCTCTATACCTTTATGTATTGGTTCCGGGTCAATGTCAACCTCTACGTGCCATGCACCATCCCAGTGTACGTGAATGCCATCAGCCATCAGAATAAGATATTCACCCTCTAAATGGATAATTACTTCGTGACCTTGGTTCACGTCATATGGGAAATATGGGTTCTCAATCAATACTCCGTCCACCTAGAAAACAAAATAAAAGTTCATTTGGCATTTTCTATCACAAATGTTTCTGTCTTATTCTACCGAAAGCTTATTCTCACAAAGTCTAATAATAGCTCAATGCCAGGAAGACCGTGTTGAATTGTTGTCATCAAGAGTGAAAAATCAATCCAGTATTAATGATTAGATGGAAAATATGGCTTACATCTACAATATCATTTTAAACAATAATATTTTCGCTATTGTTATTCACTAGCTACCAAAAAGTATATTCGCACTTTAGCGGCTAATTCAAGATGTAGCCATCAGAAAGTATATTCCCACTTTAGCGGCTAATTCAAGATGTAGCTATCAGAAAG